TAAACATGGGAGGTGATATGGGAGTGTGGGGAATAATGAAACCACACTGTGTATATATTTTCTAGTTCCTGCGAATTTTGATAACTTCCACATGGTCACTTGTAAGTATAATCATCAAACATGAAGAATGGTTTTATAGACTCCAATATATATTCTAGGAAACCCTTAAAATATCTAGAAAACTTGAATTTTTAGGTCTTATTTTTTTTCCCTAACCAACCACTGATGCTGCAAGGAGTAATAATAAAGAAGTTAATATGATAGTGTGCTTTTTATTTTCTTGGATCCTGAATATATATGCTAAACCATCTACACCATCTGCTTCACTAGGGTCAAAGCCCAGCTGTACAAGCTTAGGAGTAGGTGCTGAAGAGCTGATATTTTATATGGCTGAAGCTGTAGTTTCAAGCACGCCTTTCACAAAATTCAGGGATTCAACCAGCACTTGTTAGCATACTAATTCTTGTGGGTTTCTAGCTGAAAAATATGACCTCTTTGCCAGGTGTTTTAAGGTACGGAAAAGTTACTTCTCTGCTCAGAAAAGCAGAAAGCGTCATGTTCCCTTTGCAGTAGATAAGAAGGTAGCTGTGGGTCAAATAGGCAATTAGATGCCCAGCATAATTTAGTTGACCATTCTTCCAGTTTAAGGATTTCTACGTGCCCAGCTCCAAAATATGTCCCAGCTGTAAAAATGCTACTCCCTGATTATTTAATTTCTCTTCCTTTTTGTGATGCTGTCAGTTATTTGTTATCCAAGCAGAAGACGCTAAGGAATAATACAAATCTTTATGGTGACTGTGTATGGTCCAAGTACTTGTTTTAGACCTGTGTCCTTTTCAAGTGATGAAGTGGATCATTAGACACAGCACAAGAAGTGTAGGAAATCCATATCAGCTGTTGCTAAGCAGCTTGTGTTATCTTGACTCTTTTGAACCTTTTTAGATAAATATGACAGAAGGAAAAGATTTCAGAGCTTAACATCAGAGTTTGGTCTCTACTTCTGCTGTCTTAGCTGGCTGTATTCCTAGAAGATCCCATTCTTGTTTTGCACTATTTTTGCAGCCTTATCAATCTAAAATACTTTATTTTTTCTAGAGGGGTGAACTATAGAGTGTTTCCAGCCCTATGCATCCTAGCCATACAGTCTATCTGTAGTAAAAATAAAAGCGCATATTTAGAATATGACTGAATTGAGCCTAAAATTACCAAGGATAATCTGCTTTCACACAGGCTTCATAGCTTTCGATTGTATTTTTTAGTTCTCAATTCTAGAATTTGAAAAGAAACACAGAAACCTCCGTGATCTGAGAAGACAGAGATCTCCATCCATTTCTGTCCATCTCCTTAAGTGGGTACTTTCAGATATCACCAGGTATTTCAGTGGTTACATCTGGCAGACCATGTTTGAAAGCAGTGATGAAAACAGGACTGAAAATGCAAACTTAATATTTAGAAATACTGCCAAGTGGGCGGGGCCCTATCATATCACATTTGTACTATTCTGCATGTTTAGCAGCTATGCCATTATGGCATACCAGAATGTTTCAGTCATCAAATTATTGTTATTTGTTATTACCAAATAAAGAATTTTAAACCCATGGTTTGCACCCCTTCTGAAAATGCCACCTTATGCATGTCTGACGAAGTGCTATTTTGATATATGCAGGATCACACAGGGGCTTTGAGCAACCTGGTCTAGTGGAATGTGTCCCACCCCATGGCGGGGGGTTTGGAACTAAATGATCTTAAGATCCTTTCCAACCCACACCATTCTATGATTCTAAGGCCTGCTGTAAAGCCCCTTAATTACTGTGAGTTGGTTGTTTTCTACTGAGCAAAGGTATGTCTCTTTCTAGAGTCTGGTTCCAGCATGAGCTATTGAAGTCAGAGGTGTGAAATTAGGCAGGAAAGAGAGGATGTTCTGTGGAGCCTACGCTGCTGTTTCTGGGTAGACTTTTAGTGCCTATTATCCCAATTTAGCTATGTGTTTAGGTTGGAAACTAGTTTAGTACCCTTGGTCTTTTGTCCCAGTAGAAATTATTATTTTATGATATTTTGGCTAGATTTATCTACAGACAACAGACTATTTCATCTGAACATTAACTATGCATGTGACATCAGGAAGAGGCTGCCACCTTTGTTCTACTCAGATCAGTCTTTATAGGGACAGAATAAATCAGTTTGGTAGGAACGAACTCATTGACAAATACCTTCCCTGCTAGAATTGAGGGTGATCATGACAAACCTTTCCAGTTTCTGCTTCATGTGTAAGATAGTTCTATTTCAGAATTTTTAATCATTTTTTAAAATTTAATACTAAGGCAAGTTTTCAAGCATCAAGTATTTGTAGGAATGTGGTTCTGTTACACCAGTGCTTTTTGGAAAACCTTTGTTTTATATTCTAGAATGGAATATAATAAGTCTTGACAATGGTCTCACAAAAGGTCACTACCCAGGTGGTTTTGTCGTCCTGCAAAGGACTCAGCAGCCCAAACTCTTCTCTTCCTATTCAGGTTGGAGACTAGACTGAGAGTTCTTAATGTCTCTTCTATTGTACTCTCTCAGCTGTCAAAATGGCTGTGACCACTTTCTTCTAGGATATTAAACTTCTTGTCTTAATTCAGATTATGAATAGTTCTAGGCTGTTACACCTTGCTTAACTTGTTACTAGAAGATGCTTAAAGGTAGCATTGTAGGATCACTTAGGTAAAGTATTATGTATTTAAATTAGCCTACACTTCCTGGCCACACCTGCATCCTACCAGAATACATCCCAAGCTTCCCAGGCTGTGGATTTGGACCTCTCTACCTTGATGCATTCTGTTAGCTGTCATGGGAGTTTTGTCTATGTTGTGGATTAATCTTGCTGTGAATTCAGAGAAGCTACCCTGAGCCTGGGTGTCAAGGTGGCTGGCCCCTCTGACCTGGCCACTGGAGAGCATGGAGGGCTGGTGCCAGGTGCTATGGCTGTTCAGGAGTTGGCACTGAGGATCAGCACATCTGAGCAAGGACTAATGCACCCCCCTTGCCTGGCTTTGAATGTCTTGCTGCTGTGCTCTTCAGCATGTTACTCAAGCTTTGGAGTTATTTTGAGTATCCCCCCTTGTAATTAGCCCAGATAACAGGTAAATGGTTAATTTCTGTGGATGCAGTTAACATTATCTGCCATTCTGTTAAGTTCTCTAGATGTTTTAGAAGCTCTCACAAGTAGGAGCAGTCTTTCCTTTACAAAATCATGACTGCAGGTGCTGTGAAGAAGTAGTGGCTCTTTCAGGTCATAAGATATCTATTTATATGAGAAATGTGTGTCTTTGGCAGGCTGCTAAATATTACTGCTTAAATCTATTACAAGGAAGAACAATTTTCTGTAACTTAATTTCCTAAGCCTAATGAACCCAGTAAATTTCCTCTGATGTCTTCCCAAGTTAATATGTTAAATCTAATTTATTTGGCAAAAAATTGGACAAATCTCCTCTTAATTGAATTAACCTAGAAGGAAAAAATATATTGTTATGGAAATCTGTGACTAATAATTCACAGATGTGAAAGTCCTGGTTTTGGTTCCATTCATTTACTATCTTACAATTGCTATTTTTGTTTGCTATAATTTAGCTAGAAAGAGTTAATTGAAACATGTATGTATTTGAAAAGTTTGATAAGTAGTACCGAATTTCTTTCTTGTCATTTAATGTTGCAGAAGATTTTACTGTCCTATGCGAGTATATGAATACTTATTGAATATTATATTTGCCAATTGACTTTATGGATATATTGCTGATATTTTGTGGACACTGCTAAGGAGTGGATGATGCATCTTCAGCAGCAATAATACATTCCTAGCAATTTTGCTTGAACTAAAAGTGGTACAAAAAAATTCTCAATGTTTATGTCTTAATGTTTGGAAAACCGAAGCACTGTCTCAACAAAAGCCAAAGCAAAACTGGGACTGGGAGCAGGTCCTGGACATAGTCCAGTAGCAAAACAAAAACATGAGTTTGCCTGTGTATGCTACTTCGATTTTATGCAAACAGGGTGTAGATAAGAGGGATATAATTGCACGTCTCCCTGGAACGTAATTCATATTCTTCATGCCAACAGCTATAGTCCTGCTTTCCTGCCACTTCCTTAATATATGTGGAGAGGTCTGATGTAAACAATGGAGCCAAACCTCTGACAAATAAATTACAAGGGCCACTAATGAGTGCAAATCCATGTATGACCTTTAGAGAATTCATGCAGCTGTCTTCATCCTCTGGTGTGGTTTGTGCTGAGAAGAACAATTTCAAAATGACTATGTATATCAAAATAATAGAGTTGATTTCTTTCTGTTTATACATCTCTACTGGTTTCAGAACTGCTCAGGGCAGAATTTGGCTTTAAATCTGTAGGCCAAATATCTTTAATGTTCTTGCATTTTAAAGCGTGTATTAGTGATATCTAAGATAATTTACAAATGGCCCAGGAGTTTTCAGCTATAAATTTTTATCCAGACATTTATATCTTTTCCAGCACAAAAGCAATTGTATGAAAAATAGTCAATAAGCTGCAACACTAAGGTCAACAGTTTTAGTATTAAAATCAGTTTACAGTATGTTTGCTTGACGTGCACATAAATTCAAAGAGGCAAGAAGTATAAACAGAATAGCTGATTTCTTGGATGCACTCCAGTATAATTATAGCTATTCACCCTTGTGACTATTTGTGTGTGTAGCTTAAAGGTATTTGCCTGCCCTAAGGTACCGTAGCAGTATTTTTATACATCTTTGTATCTGATTGAAATGCAAAACTCAGTAAACCTGGAAAGGATGCTAACAAGCTTAAAGAAATGTATGAGTAAAATTAACCTGCAGACTGAATATGCATTTTGATATTTGTTAGCAGCACCACCCAATTCCTGGTATGGGTACTTCTCATTCTCTTCAGTTTTGAAACTGAGATATCCCTTATGGATTTGTCACCAAAATAGTGTATTTCTAATAGGCAATTATAAAAAAAAAAACCATCATCAATCACATTTATTGCAAACATCTCATAAAACAGTAAAACATTTATGTGGCTATGGAAGGCAACATTTATGTTGCCATGTAATATACTAAGATTTGCATATAAAGAACAGCAGGCAGCAAACAAGTATTTTTCCCTTTCTTATTCCATTTATACAAACGCCTTTGATGCAATGCATCTATTTAATTTACATCAAAATGTTATAGCTAGGACACCTGAGTGATATTAACTGTCATTAAGTCTCAGAAGCACACCATGTGAGGGTAACGGGTAATGCTGCTTCCTTCAGGTAGGGTCCATCAGGCATGTCGCACCTTGTCACAACCTATCTGTCACCCAGGAGGCAGGGTTCGCCTCAAGCTGATGTGCACCTGTCACAGATACATAGATATTATTATTTCTTTTTAAATTTACCTTCTTTCCCCATCTCCCTCTCCCCCCAGTATATTTTTTCTCACCAGTATCATTCACGTCAGGCTTTTGCTTTCATACTTAATTCCAGGGATACTGGGACTTTTTATTGTTTCCATGTGAATAAGAAGAAAATGCAGTTGCTTGGAAAGAAACAGCTTTTCTTGGGGGGTGGCATGGCAACTGACTATTGATACCAACATCTGCTAATCTTCTCCATACTCATCTGTACCTTGTGCTCAGCAAACACTCAGAAATAATTTTCTCAAAACTTTTTTTTAATAGCTCAGACTGCCTCTACTATGGGGCTGTATGATATAAAATGACTAATAAAATGTGAGGTTATTTGTGTGTCAGAGTTGGTAACAACTGTCTTTATCTGAGTTTTTCCACAAGCCTCGAGGTAAAATGAAGCAGGCAGCATTGCAGAGAGAAATGAATGACAGCACACTGTACAAATCCGTGGGATTTTTTGACATTTGACTTTCAACTCATTTAAAAAAAATTTGCCTTCTATTTACTTGTCAGAACTGGGTTTAATTCTTCTGTGCTGCAAGGAATTCACCCTGTTAAGATATTGATATAACAAATTGCCGAATGTTTTAGAGATTGATTCTTGCTGACCAAAATGGGCTTTCAAATTGGGAGTCTTTTTTTCTGGGAAACACCTGCTGAGATAGAAGTCTGACAGCTACACAAAAGAAATACAGGGTTTGTTTAGTCTGTTCCTATCTAGCAATCTGCAGATGCTATCAAAAATTGCATTTCTAAAAAATGAAAATTACCTAAGGATTTGGCAAAGGACCTTCGTTAAAATGGACTGAGTGGCCACTGTCAGGTGAGTATTAACAGAATGATTGGTTGTTACTTCTGTCAGTCTTTCTGCAAAATTATGACAGGCCACACAGCAGGGAGCAAATGATCATTAATACTACATCCCCTGGGACACAATAAACTGCCATTCACTTGCATAAAAATAAAATATATAAAGCTTGTTGGACAAGGTGATAGAAAAAGGTGCTTTTTCAAAACAGTTTTATACTACAGTGGGATGTGATCAGTTAAGACATGTTTTTGTATTGTGTGGTATACGACCTTGGCAGTAGTGTCTTTGAATTCATTTTGGGTTAAAAATATCTTTTAATGCTTTTTCTTGGTGTTTATTTTATTTCATTAGAAGAACGTAAGAATTTAAACACTATTCTCAGCTATACAGTGGAAAGTTAACAACAGCTTTTGCAGGAAAACACTCCCCTCAAGCCAGTGCTGTTTATGCCATCTAACCTAATCTAACCTAACACCAAAATAATCCAGACTCTGTGTGTGTGCCACTGCTCTAGTGCAGAGGAACAGAAAGTCTAATGCAAAGAGATGCCCACTGGAACAAAGATTCCCAAGATAGAAATAGGTGTTCTAAACTTGAATAAGCTGTTCCCACAATAAAAAGTGATATGTTGTATTACACTTTTAGTAAGGTCGGAAAGAGGCTAGAGTTCAAGGTATTTGCTTAGCCACTGCTTCTGGTAATGCTTTTCTGTTCTGGGAAGTCCACTGAGAAAAAGATAAGTACTGATTTATGAGGAAATTGTTCATGTTCTGCCTATAGGGTGTTTTGGTTTTGACACATCTATCAATGAATTCTTAGGTGGTTACTGAACTGGAAGTTTTGTGTAGGCTGGGCACATAGAGTTGCATAATCGGTCAGTGTGGAGCCTGATAATCTCACTGCGTTGGAAATTAATTTCTTTGACACTCACTAGAAAAACAAGGTTTCTGACATGCTGTTCATGCTTTAAACCCCTTTCCTCCTTTAATATTTCCCATGGAGATTTATGTGATGCTCTGTATATTGCTTTGTGCAAGCATTTGTTTCATTATAAAATCATAGACTGGTTTGGATTCGAAGGGATCTTAAAGATCCTCCAGTTCCAACCCCCATCCCCCATGCCATGGATACCTTCCAATAGACCAGGCTGCTCAAAGCCCATCCAACCTGGCCTTAAACACTTCCATGAACAGAGCAGCCACAGCGTCTCTGGGCAACCTGTTCCAAGGTATCAGCACCCTCACAGTGAAGAATTTCTTCCTAGTATAATTTAAAACTCCCCTCTGACAGAAATGTTTAAATCCATTTCCCCTTGTCCTATCACTACACCTGCTTGCAAAAAGTCCCTCCCAGATTTTCTGTAGCCCCCCTTTGGTACTGGAAAGCCACTCTAAGGTCTCCCCAGAGCCTTCTGTTCTCCAGGCTGAACATCCCCAACTCAGCTTGTCTCCATAGGAGAGGTGCTCTAGCCCTCTGATCATCTTTGTGACCTTTCCTGGATACACTCCAACAGGTCCATGTCCTTATGTTGGGGGTCCCAGAGCTGAACACAGTACTCCAGGTGGGATGTCATAGGATTGGTTGTTTGAAATATTTCAATTTTATTAAAGCTACACTTTTAAGAAAGCAAAATTTGTTTCATCAAATATTTTAACAGCTCTCTGGAACTACAGAAGCTTGGATTGTACCAATGGATCTTGTCCACAGAACTTGGAAGTCATACTTCATTGCTTATTTGGACATTTCCTTTGCCAAAACTGGTTCTGAATTAATACTTTCACACTTAGATTCTGTCAGTATTTTTCTTTCTCCTGGCCTTGATGGCAAAAATAAGGACTACTAATGAATGCTCTCTCTTGACTGTGTTAGAGGAAGTAAGTACTGGAAATTTCACATGAAGGCTTGGTAGGTCTGCCTGTGTACTCCTCTTGATTTTCTGCTGCTTCTGTGTCCCAGTGTCACTGTTGGTATTGTAATGTCACCTACTTCAAAGACGAATATATGTCAAACCACCTATGAATGGCAATGTAACCAAGAATTAAGCATATAGTTCTGATGAGGAACCTGCCAACCTTGAGTAGGAAGAAAAAGTTAAGTGTTAGTGAATCCACAGCACCAGTATTCACATGTGTGATTGGTCAGAGAAGAAAAATAAAAGACTAACAGAAAACACCTCTTATATCACTCCTGCAACTTTTACTTTCTGTTCTCTTGTGCACTGAATTATATAACTACTACACTGTGAGAATAGAGCTCCAAAATTAATCAGCGCTCTAGAAAAACAGGAGACTGATGCAATGTGATTTTTCCCTCTCATGCACAACTGCATTTAAGCAGTTGTGGATTATTGTTTTTCTGTCATTAGAGAAATGGAAAAACACCTGCTGATCTCCAGCCTAAACAGAAACTAAATAACACTTTAAATAAATAAGTTCTCTTTTTGCAAAAGATTATATAAAGATGGACATCTTAATAGGTTTTCCAGGTAGACCTTTCTTATTAAAGGCTTTCTGAAAGGGAAGACTCCATAAGGTAAACCTGAGACTGAAAGCAGACTGGATAATGACTGCCTTGAATTCTGTGTGAAATACTGTGAAGTGTTGTGTTTTGCATTGCTCAGGGATTGTGAAGTTCAGTGATGAAATCAGGTTGGGGTGGTTTTTGTTTTTTTTTCATAGTAATTTCAGTTCAGCTTCCTTAAGTCATACCCCTTCTGCTTTGTGCATGCAGATCCATGAAAGTTAGGACTGATTAGATGGCATTGGCATTGCAAAATCCCAAGAAAAATACTACTGTTAGTGAGAATTGTGCGTATAAGCCCCTGCTTGACAATGCAATGACAATTCACTCCTATGATTCTTTCAAAACTTGCAAAACAAAAATAAACCTGATCACTCAATAATAACTGCTCAAGATGCCTTTTTTTTTTTTTTTTACTATTAACTTTAAAATGCAATAGTCTGTCTAAATCCTCAGCTAGATTGAATCCACCTCTTTCCACTGAGTTCGGTGCAGCTAAACTTATTTATAGTGGTTGGGTAAATTAGCCTGTTGCTACTCAAACGGCAAATTATGCAGAAGTTTTGGCAAATCTGTTTGGAATATGGATGGAAATGAATATGGGGGTTTCAAATGTTAGAACACAGCATTGGTTAAAAAAACCTGAACAGCTTAAACCACTGTTTGAAAATACCTAAACTACCACTGCACGTGTTCCAGTAATTTGCTCAGCCATGCAGTATGTTGTATTCATTGAATGAAGAAAACTTCTCGTGAGAATGTTTAAAATGTCACTAAGGTTCATTCTGGATCAGGGTGCAGGTGGCTCTACAAAGGCTTTGCTGAGGGGATGTGTTTATACAGTTGCTGCTGACGGATGGTATTGATTGGCTAGGCAACTCATAAAACAAGCGACCTCACTTTCATCTTTGTGGTTTCTGTTCTCTCAGTAGATACAAAAGTGGTTTTAATTATTCACATCATCCATTTTAATATTTATTTTACTTTTATCCACCCACTCTCTTATAACCAAGTAATATTCTCATCTTCTGATTATTGTACAAAACTTGCAAAGGGGGCAAGAGTGGGTAGGGAGAAGAAATTTTTAAGAATACTGGTAAGTTTAGCAGGTCAAAATATGCTGTAGTCTCTGCCCTTAATGTGGCACTTGGATTTTCAGGCAAAAGGTGCACCAGAAATAATAAGTGGGATGTTAAAGTGAAAATGCTTAAACAGCTCCTCTAATGGTACTGATAATAAAGAATCCTAGCTAAGCTTCCGGCTGCAGTATTACAGTGCTGGTGTAAGACATGCTCTGCGCAGGATTCATTTTCTACATCAGTCTTTGAATCTCTTGAAATACCTCCTGCATAGGCACAGATACATGCTCTCTTCAAAACTACAGAATTACAGGTGGCACTCCTTTCCCTCAGATAATATATTTTTCTCCCATTACATGACAGATTTTTTCAGTTTTTATGTAACTTGTGAGTTGTGATAAGAAATCAGTTAATACTTCTGGGTTTTGGAGTTTACTCATCCTTGGAACAAGAGGATGTGATCCATACCATAATGGGAATTTCAATGCTTTTAATTATAGTTGTCCATTCTTTCATGTATTAATGTCTGCGAAGGAGAAAGAGATGTAATACAGGCATGCTTAAATCAGAAGACAACACCCTTTACTTTCCTTGCTTGTATGCATTTTTAGGGCAAAAAAAAAAAAAAAAGAAAAAGTGAATATGTTCTTTAATATTTGTGGAGCAGTTGACCAAGCTAGGAAAAAATATTCTTTATTTAGGGAACAGAATACTTCATTGGCTGATTTACAGTTGTCAGCTTTAGTTAACATGTGCTCTAGGTTGTAGATGCATGTCATCATTATGACCTATATATTCTACTTATTTTCACAAACTTATCAATGAGTAGTGCATAGGAATGATGGATACAGCTGCTTGCTAATTCTGTGCCACAACAGACTTGAGTCAGGCTTTCTGATGAAAGAGCCTTTGAAATTATCTAAGGTTTTCATACTCTGTGCATGTACACTTCCCTAGAATTGCTGTGCTAAAAAAAATTCCCCTTGGAGCTGAGCTACAACACAGTTGTATTTTCTAAATGCCTACATATATTAAGAATTTATAGAAATTATAAAAGCTGCAAAATCTTTGCTACTTGCTGGCTTGATAAAAAAGGTGAACATGTGAGACAAAGAAATGCAAACTATGATAGAGCAGAATAATTTCTAGGCGGCCTGGTTGGCAACCAAGGAAAAGCAGCAGATAGAGAAAGAGCATTTCTTCTGTCTGTGAAATAGCCTTAGAGAGCTCTGAAGATGTCTCTAGCAACATCAGCCTCATATATGTTACATAAAAATGCACAAGTGTATTCTGGTTCAGAAATAATATGTTGTATTTATGGCATAGCAAGTAAAATGAGAAGGGAGTATAGATGGGAGAGTTCCTTAGTCAAATATTGGAAAGGATTGTTCCAACAAAGCTGGAAGGAAGAGTAATTTTTCTGTAGTTTTTTTATCATTTTTTTTTAAATCCTTTTTGAGATGTTCCCTTTTCCCTCAAGCTAATTTTAACTCTAAACCAGCTGTGATTATTTTCTTTTTAAATCAAGTTGAGATTTAAGGGGAAGTGGGGCTAGGGAAACAAGAACCAAAAGCTGCAAGGTGGGATCCTTTCTGCATGCAGTTTGCTTGCTGAGCACAGCTCCAGAGAGAGTACTGGTGAATGGTAGGAAAAGCTGCCTCACCCTCTCCATGACAAATATATATTAAAAAAAAAAGGGGGGGGGGAAGGAAGTACAGCTTTTCAAAGCTTTATTTTATGCTTTCTTAATATTTAGCAGTATAATCTTTAATACAGCACCAGGTTAGTGTATGTGTATATTCTTTTTATGCTTGTTTTGTTTTCTCTATCACTTCAGCCTTTCTCAGAAGTAATAATTTGTGTGTGGAAGAAAAAAGTTTAGCTGATTGCAGAGGATGCATATTCCTCTTTCCCAGAAAATAAACTAGGAACCCCATGTAAATGAGGCATACGGTTTATAATGAATTGGGCTAATAGCGATGATGTGTTCAAGTATATCCCCCAAAGTTCATTAGCTTAATGTAATATATAGTGGCAAGAATAATACCTATGATTACTCCAATTAAAATTATAGTTTTCTGCTTTTCTGTGATGCAAGTTAGTACTGTGAGAACATGAAACACACCTCATAAATGCCACCCAGCTGCAAAAGCGACAAAGTGAGTCTGACAGCTTTTCCTAATGGCATAGAGAATAATAGGCATGGCTGCAACTGGCTTTTGTTATTTCTGGAGGCTCTGGCAGCTCACCAAGCATGGTAAGACCAAGGCAATAAGTCTATGATAGCATTGTTCAACAAGTGATTAGAATACTCTATGGGAAACATGAAAACATACTCTTAAATGGACATAAAAATAAAGCAAATACCATTCCAAGTATATGGTAGGTGGATAGCATTAGGAGAAGGCTGTAAGCAAGTGAGGATAGCACACCCCTGCTCTAAAGAAGTATAGGATTAAAGCTTTGCTCTGTTTTCAGCTTACTGCTTATTAATGAAGAGTGGATGGTAACTGAAGAGATGAAGAGACTGTATTGTGAGACACCACAGAGCACTGCATGTGTGATGTTCCTTCTGAAGCCATAATAACCATTTGATTTCTGACCCTGAGGTGAATTTTGTATACTCATATGCATGAAGGAGGTGAAAGGATATGCACTGAGATATGCCCTTCTTTCCAAACTGTGTTTTTAGAAGTGACATAATTGAGGTATAAATAAAATAACAAAGAAGGCTTTTATAGATATATATTATTATTTCAAACTACCAACAGTTGTCTTCACATTTGCTGGTATTTTAAAGTCCTGAATTTTAAATGGCACAGCTCTCCTTTCCCACCTCCTGTAAAATGCAGTCAGTAGAGAATATGTCTCAAGGGAAATTTCCAGAAATCAGGTCTGTAATAAACAGTCCTGGGAACTTTACTTGAGTTCCCCGCTCGTCTCCTGTTTGTCCTGTGGCATCTCTGACAATAAAAGAATACATCCCTAAAATTGCCACTTAGCAATAGGCGAGTCCATATCCTTTCCCCAAAATTAAAATGGGGACCTAGCGCATGGTAGTTGCTTAAAGTGTCTGCCATTATGTGGGATGCCAAGAGGCCACCCCCTGCCGTTTTCCATTCAGATGGATGGGAAACCTATGGATAAATTACCACCTACAGTGTGTGATAGCGGACATTGTAAGCAGCTGTCACTGTAGCTCTGTAATTATGCAAGTATTCTTCTAATATTATACAATTAGAGGGCCCCATCTCCCTTTCTTTCTCTTGATAATGTTTTTGTAGGTGTCAAGAGCACTGAACTTTCTCCTTGTTCAATCACTTATGTCTCTGTGCAATCCAACCAACACTTTCCTGATGCTCCTGTAGCTGTCACTCTACCTATACCAGAGGTTGACTTCTGCTGCTTTTTCAGTACTGTATTAGTTCTTTGTATTATAAGATAGCAAAACCCATGAGGATAATTGTCAGTAAGCAGTCACACCTTACCTTCACTAGAGGTATCAGGCAGTGGTGGCTGTTAGAAAGATGCAGCTGGCTTTATTTTCTTCAGCAAAGCTTCCTGCAAGCATTTGGTGGCTGGAGTGTGATTTGAGTGATAGACCAAAAAAATATCAGTGCATCCTTTCTGCATTCAGGGGATATTTGTACTAAAAGGAATGGGAGAGTAACTGTATGTTACGAAGCAAAACCAACTTTTTCAAAATTAGAGTACAGTTCTCTTAGTAGCCATCTTAGTAGTTTATTCCTTTAAGTTGTTTAAAACCCCCATATTTTACTACAAAATGTTTCTGCCTTTCTCAGTGTACTCCTCCTTTTCCTCTCCTCAGGATGCCAGTCTATAATTAGCAGTGTGTTTATGAATACTAAAAGCTTGAATTTTCCTAAAGATTCTTAAGAGAATTGGTTGATGTTTCTTTTTTTTCTTGCAGAACCCAAACCTCAGTTGACATTCTACAATCTAGTCCTTCTGATTTTGTCCATTTCTCCCGTAGCTTGTTTCCGCAAGTCTTTATTTGAACAAGAAACTGTGGTGATGTCTTGATGCCATACAGGGTGTAAAATCTCAGGGGGTGGCGTTCATTCTGGGTTGATCAAAATATGCATTGTTAAAGCAGTCTAAAAAATCTGCCCATTTTAGTTTTTTCTATATTTCTTAACCTAAGGAAAGTAAATTGTATAGGATAAAGATCTGTTCTTTGATTAATCTTTTCCTGTTAGACTGATGTTTAAAATCAGCTTAGATTCAACACTAAGGTTGCTAATAAGTACTTTTTCTTTTTTTTTCCTAAGTTTGGGCTAAGTCACAGTGAATTTTATGTTTGAAAGGCTTCATTCTTGCTGCCTTAAAGATAATTCCTATAAACAAAAATTGTGAGTCAATTTTGAAATTGCCTTTAATTCTGCTGTTTACAAGATCCTCAAACCTTCTTTCTGCAGAAGGCATGCAAAGATTATTAAATTGCGCTTCAGAAGCAGCTGTAATGATTAGCACATTAACCCTCCCTCCTGGCACCCGGCTGTGTGAGCTGTACCGGTAAACTGGAGTGCACACTCAGAAAGGGTTATGGAAACCACCATTTTACAGACCTGTGCTGATGTTGGCAGTTACGCAGCCATGTGAGAGGTGAGCAGTGTCAGTGATGTTTTAAATCACTGCAGTTGTAGAAACAAATGCGTGCCTCTACCCAAAGGCTCCCGAGTGGCGGCACCCAGGGCAAAACACAACCCAGCCATCCCCTGGGATTTTGCTGGCTGTGTGGTGGGTATTTACACAAAACATTGCAGGGGACCAGGAAACTGGCTGAGACCTGGTGACAAAGCCAAGGTAATTTGACTGGATATTGCAGATTACAGGTTCTCCTGTGTGTGCCTGGTGTGCTGAGTGAAGGCACAGGTGGACCAGAGCTGGACTAGAGCCATCCTGCCCTCTCCCATTACCGCTGTGGTTGCATTTCAAGCCAAGTGTGAGCGGATACCCTCATGCTGTGCAGAGCCTAGGACTCTGAAGTTATATTGCTTTTCTCATCTCTTCCCAAAGGTTAGTTCCTTCCTTTCTTTGTACATTCACTCAACAACAGATTTTTGGCGCTTTACAGGTTAATCTGAGATTTAAAGGTACAAAAATGGATCTAAGTTAAGTTGCAGATGATAAAAAAGGGTGCATATCCCACACTTTGGATGTCCTGAAAAAGACTTTTGAAACAGCAGAATATGTAGAATATGTAGTTTTCTACATTTATTTATTTAGTTGGTGTAAATACATAGTTTTTGAGAGCTTGATGAATATGACAATAACAGAACATCATTCTAAAGTGATAAATTAGAAGAACAAACCATGGTAATATAATGCCCCCTATGGTTTGTAAGGGAGTATGTACAATAACACTGAGGAATGCTTCCATACATACTTCCTCTTAGTAGAATTAGAATTATGTGCTATGCTCCTCTGCTACTAAAAAAAAAAATCCAGCTGGATTTTCTAATAAAGAGGTCAGATGCTGCTAGTTTAGATGCTCTAAATCTCCTCCCTCTTTTTGGTGATTCAAAATTGGGATCAAAATTGCTTCTGAGTAATGTAATTGCAGAACTAGTGGCAGCTGAGTTAATACATTCACAAAGCAGACACTTTAATATAGGAAGTTATCACCTAAGGAAAGGCAAGCAGCCTGCCTCAGAGGGACGAGGGAGCTGTGTAGTTGAATAAATGGCCACTTGATGACAACATTTTACCACACATAAGTAAAACCAGCAGAATTTGACAGTAGAAACTATAAACCTGCAAACATGCACATTTCCTCAGGACCCAGTTAAAAAAGCTCCAGACATTCATAAAACATTGTTTTCCAATAACCTATGCAAATAAAACTTTAATTTGCCGTATCTTGCGTATATCACAATTGTATGTCCATTTAGGAATCCCCTTGTTTATAGAACTTGATTTAGCAAGTTAGTGCTTCCTTCAGTAAGCTAACCCTTTCAAGAAGAAATGGACATAACATATTAATAGATTTCAGAGTGGTAAGTCACCTCAGCAGTAAGTTATACAGAAGATAACGCATTAATAATGATACAGTATTTTTCTGGTAAATTAGCTTTCTTCCTATTCAGAGTGTTTTACCCTGCTCCCCCACATCCAGTTTAAAGGCATGTCTTCCCCCTTGTACTCTCAGTTCCTTTATGCTCTCATGGTGCCAATGAGGGCAGAAGCGCTACTTTACACAGGAGAGGGAGCAAACCTGCTTCTTACCAAGTGCTGTGATCTGAAAGCACTGACAAGCTGGGCCACCCTGCTCTGAACCTGCTTAGGATTTGGTTGCTTGGTACAGTGTGGTGAAGTGATCCAAGACCTAAAATGGATGAAATTAATTATGCCCATCTTTGAACCATGTTCTCTTTCAGTTCCTATGGAGCCTACAAATTCACTTTTAAACCTTCCTGGTGAAAGAAAGCTGCTGATTCTTATATGGGTGTGAACTGGCAGCAATCAAGGCGGACCCACATGTGCCTACGACTGCACATGTAAAGTAAGAAAAAAGTATATATTGGCTGTTGCAGATCACTAAGGAGCCAAAAAGCAAATGTGTGTAAGTTGGCTAGTCAAGCAAGTTGTCTACGTATAATGTGATGGAGGAGATGAGATGTCTCTCAGGCCCAGCATTTTAGGATTGTGTCTTGTATTATTTTGCCTTTCAAGACTTAATAATCTTAATTATGCATTTCTTCTATTTCAGTAACTACTGCAAAGGTTATGGTTTTCCTGTATTTATGTCTTTGCAACCTGGGGACTGGGTGAGGGAAAATACAGGGACAAAGTGGGAGTGACTCACTGGGAATAACATGCATGTTGTCAGAATGTAATGAAAATTATTTTGGTCTTCAGCTTTTAAGCTGGAATTGTGCTAGTAAGCTGTAGGCAGATTGATTTAGCAGTAAGTATACTTAGAACTCTGAAAAAAATCCAACTTTTCATTTCACTGACAGTTTATGATAGCAATCCTCTCACTACCTCTCAGAGCAAGCATGTGTCTGGAGTGGGGAGTGCCTTTACTTCCTTGCTCCTTCTGCAACAGTCATTTATTTGTTAGACTGGGACTGAAGACACAATTCACTGCTAAATTTGCCACAGCTAAGGTTAAACAAACAGTTATTTGTTATTGCAGCTACTGGTCCATGGGCATATATACAGTTAATATTTAAAATCCATGAAAAGACATATTCACAAGATTTGTGAAAAATGAGGCAGTTTTCCTTCCCGTAATGGCAGGGATCTCAAATGACTTGTGCTGTCAATGGGAGCACAAGAGGTTATATAGTTTTCCATAATCTATAAAGCTTCTTCAGAATCATGTCATTAGCTTTCCTGTGGTAGTGCACAGCAGAGCTAATAATGCAATTATGGTTCATGTAGTTAAACTATGCTATTGATATTTTTTTTTTTTTCCCAGGAGGCCTTCATTTCTAGCAATTCTAATCATCTTCATTGTACAGCTGTATGGATTCTACGTTTCACTATGAGGGAAATAAAATTGCAAATAAATACCATCTTTCCTAATGTCTCTGTAAATGCCAGATTTAGTAACCATTAACCAAATGTTGGAGTCTATAAAATGTATAATTCTTTGTATAAAAAAAAAATACAGAAGAGGCCACATTCACATACTAGTCACCAGAATAAACTATTATGCCAGAGTAAATGAGGGCAGAATTTCATGCAATATTTGATTATTCTCATTTCTTGCTGCTATAATTCATTAAATCTTCTGCATTTGGTATACTAACTCTTCCTCTGTCTGTCTACTGTATTTAAACTGTACGTATTAGAGTAAATTAGTATAATTACCACTTGAAAATGGTGTGTGTGTTTAGCAGGGGGGAATCTTCTTTAACTTTCTATTCTTTTGAGCAAATCTGGAACCTGGAGTACTGTACTTTTACCTGATATGCAGTAAGTTTGAGAACTGGCATGTACAGGATAATTAAGATGCTATCTGCTTTATTATTAAGCATTAACTTACAGTCCCATTAAGGAAATACTGTATTTTTTTAGAAAATTAATGGTTCCATCTCTGTCCACTGTAGTAAAAATCTCAATCCTGAGAATTAGAATCCTTATTCAAAAACATAAAAAAACATAAAGCAAGAAATAATGATGTTCACTGCTTCTGTGGTATTAGTCTTCCATGATTAAGGCTGTTCCAAGAAGCTGAATTATTAGAGCAATGAGTCTCTGAAAGAATTGCACTGTTTTCTTGAGAAAAATTTTGTTTCTATTAACTATTGTGTTTCTTCTGAGTAAAATACCAAACACATCACAAAGCATTTAGAAAAGTCAAATTATAAGGTGATAGCATGTTAATCATTTTACTGAGAAATATCTTCCTCCTTAAAAAAAACTGGGACACAAAGAGTTGAAAATAAACATGAAGAATGATTGCTATTAGGTGTCTGAGGAATAAACACAGATATGAGTGTGACCTGCAAATCAGGCTTCCTTGATGGACCACATGGAGATGGAAAAGAGCAGAAAATAAAGCGAACATAGCTAAGGTCTTTAAACATTCTTCAAAAAAAAGTTTTTATCTGTGATAATGAATGCTGTATGGTCTTAGTATCTTTAGAGAGAATACCCATCATTTTCCTGCATACATGTGAGGCAA